ACTTTACGTTTCCCATAGTACTATAACATAAAAGCAGTTTCAACTTCCATTATAAGACTACTAGTACTTAAAACAATGGCCAAAACAAAATGTCATCAATGCACATACAAAGCCAATATTAGAGCAAATGTGATATACATTAGTGGTTCTCAAATTTACATACCATTTGTAATAACATTTCTTTTGCTAAACATTTTTAAATAAATGAATTAAATTTAAAATAACAGAAATATTAAATCAGCCATGATATAGCTCAGGAACTTAAGAGGCTAGCTTCTCACTTTGCAGCCTCAGGTTCAATCCTTAGTAACATTAGGTGATATTCATGGGCAACGAAGTGGCATTGAAGTACGTTTTTCTCTGTGTTTCTTTGACTTTCCCCTGATAAATCATCACTCCACCACTGCCCATACTCAACTATCACACCCCATGAAGGGTGCCATAGCTCTGACCAGGCAGGTGCCTAAAATGTTAACTACATGTAACAGAACTCAACAGTACTTCTTCTTTCAAAGACAAACTTAGTTTCTAAGAAGAAACATTGTGACAATAATAAATACGAATTATATTTATAAACATAAGTCAAAGCATTCACAATTCATTACAACTGACACAAGAGTAAAGAGTTCTATCTTCTGGAATATAATGCCTTGTAATACATTGAACATCAGCTGATATTTCTGAGGAACATGTCGCCACCAACTTCAGTGATGAAGAGTAGGTCACACAAGACACCAGCATGAAGCAGTCAGTAAGCACAGCTCTGCATGCTAAATGATAACTTAAAAGTACATCATTTCTCAACAAAGTTCCCTTTGCTTTTTGACATCTTTGGCCAGCAATGCACAGCTTATATTTTTCGCTGCAAAAAAAAGAAGCTTTTGTTCAGGTAGTAAGCATCATCTCTTTCAACTCATGGTTTCTGGCAAAATGATGACCTCTTACAGAATCTCAGAGGGTCGCAAACAGATGAAATATGATGAAGCAAGGTCAGGGCTGTATAGTGGAAGTTTTAGGACCTCAAGGCATAGCTGCTCAAGCATTTTTAATAGTATGGGCACTATCATGAAACAGAGCACTTTTTGACAGCTGTCCTTGGCAATTTGCCAGCTTTGTATTATGACACAACACTTAACTGTAACATGCACTGTTTCTCACAGCATCCTTTTAATGACAATGTTCAAGGAATGGTCCCTGTGAATCCAAGAATAGCACGAGCATACTTTTTTCAATGTTGATTGAGACCTGAACTTCTTTTGGACACTGGGTGTTTCCACTGTATACTGTACCACTTTCTTTCCAGATTGTGGTGGACCCAAGTTTTGTCACCAGGAACAATGAGACTCATAAAGGTGCACCTTCCTCATGATACTGTTTCAAAAGGTTATTACAGATGCCTAAACGGTTATACCAATGCTGTGCAAGTAATTCTGGAAACTATTTTGCACAAACTTTATGGAAGAAGTATGTGGTGGATGGTTTAATAGGCAAAATCTTTGATTAAGCTGCAGTTTGTTTGCCTCTTCAATGATAATCACCTTCCTGTTATCAAGAATTAGAACATGGATTTGTTCAATATTCCTTTCAACAGTTGATGTGGATGGCACTCTTAATCATTCTTCATCGGTGGCACTAGGGTGGCCAATTTTGAACATGCCAATCCATTCTTACATACTCTGCTGCTGTAAAGCACTGTCACCATACTAAGTTGATAGTCTTTGATGAATTTCTCCACTGCTTATGTCTTCAACCCATGAAAATGAAATTACTGAATGTTGCTCTTCTTTGGCGCCTATGGTAATTTGAACACCCATGTTGAAGGCACTACTGAAAGACAACTTAATAGTGCAAGTCAAGTAAGCCACTACAACAATAGGGAGATCCCATGCTTCTAGCTCCTTGTAGTACATTCAGCAGTGCGGCCAACAGCAGAAACGGATGTGAACATTTTGTGAATACTTTCTGACTTACTCCCATATATATAGTGTGAAAATTAAGTCTCTGAACTGAGGGTGTAAAAAACCATACAAAAAAGATAAAAAATATTAATACCATCACTAAATACAGTCCCTGCCCACATCTGCACAACATTTACATCGCTCATACAATGAAACGAATGCCCGAGAAAACACTTCTTCCTGTATTGCCTTCAGTTCTCTTGGACTGATGAAACAGCCTCAAATCCTGTCACTTTCATCATAATTTTTAATTTAGGAAATAAAAAAAGTCTTCTGGCATTAAATCGTGGGAGTAGGGTGGATGGGATAACATGGGGATCCCTTGTTTCACCAGAAACTCAGAAACAATGCCCGAAGAATGTGCCTGTGCATTGTTGTGCAGAAGATACCAGGACCCACTTTCCTGAATCTCAGGGCTATGTGCTGAACTCAAGAGATCAACATCTTAATCACTTCCTTATAAAATTTACCATTTACAGTCTGTTTCTCCTGCACAAATTCATGATGAATGATGCCTTTAGCATAAAAAAAATTCAGTCAACATTGTTTTCACCCGTGATTTTTGCATTCTCACTTTCAGAGCTTCTTTGAACATTTTCTGCCATTCAAACACACTTGTTCTGGATAAACATTCTTCAATGTACACACTTTTCAACAATTCAAATGTTTCTGTTGCTGTTTCCTTTAATTTTACACAAAACTTAACTGCTGCTCTGTTCCATTCTGAAATCTTCAACACGACGAAAAAGCTAACTTCACCAATACAACTGTAATCCCCATATGTATCAACCAAATAAGTTGAAACTTACACACCATATAAATAAACATTCTAACTAGTCCCATTTATCCCTGATAGATGGTATTAATAGTATTACCATAATAGCGTCAGTTTGGATACTTTACTGTCACACTGTGTACATGAGAATATCAGTTCTTCAGTGGGTCTGTAAAACAAAGTTATGTTTGTTTATAAGAGTGCATTATGTTAAGGATATCACCAACAAAAAATAACACAGAGCTCTTTCCACACAAGTACAGTTCTTTTGTGTTCTTTTACTTCATAGCACACTAATATGTGCTTTTAAGATGGTAAGAATTAAAAGATAAAATATGATGAAAATAAACTGATGCTATAAGAAAGGTTATAAAATGGTACAATTCTGAGAACCACATGTACAGGGAAATAGAATAATACCACAGCACTTGAATTCATATGGGTCTAGCAAGATGAACACCAAATAAACATTATTGTTTCCCAACCTCCCTATACTGGAACTGCATAGATGGGAAGCAACAAGGTACTACTGGTGATATCTTTCAGACATCACATGAACTATACTAACAAAACGCGGACAACTATAAAAATAATTAAATTCTCTCAGTATCAGGCAACTGACAATTTTCTGTAAAATTTATACATTTAGGGTTTAATAACAATTTCTATGCTTGTTCATAGAAAGTTTTGGCACATACAGCAATAAGACACTCTATCACCACAGATGTCTTAATTTAACACAAATCGTGACAGCTTAGCCAGTAACATGATGGGCTGCATTCTCAACTGAAAGGATTCAAATGCTGATAAAACTGTTTAAAATTCCCCATCACATAAAGAATGGCTCTGGGACTAGAGGCTCTTTGTTCAGGAATAATCACTCACTTTGAACCTGCTACTTAAGTTAAGAATGTGCATTTTAAGCTTATGTCGCCCATTAACTTTCATGGTGTGGCACATGAGGACATCCTTACCACCCAGTCCAGAAGGACTGAAACATCTGAAGCAGAATTATCTATTAAGACAGCTAGTAAGGAAACCAAAATTTAATGAGAGAATAAAGGATCATTACACACTGCTAAACTTTAGGAAGGGTCCACGATTCTTTCAAATTTACCGAAACCTGCCACAACAAAGAAAATTAACCTGTTTCAAATCGCCTAACCTATCACGAAATTTTGACTATATGTAGAAATATGACTGCAACTTCACTAGTACGATTATAAAAATCTGTGTGGACCCAAACCATCATACAGACGACACAATGAATTCTTGCATTACTCACCAACGCCAACACTGTACAAGCTACAAAGGCAATTTTCAAGCCCTTATCTGTTCCTTCCAAGGTATCAGGGGTTATTTCGGCTTACTTTGCTGCGTATATTTTCTATCTCCTCTGAAGTGCATAAGTTCTGGTAAGGATGCACTCTATTAAGTTAGACTTCCATCTTATAGGCACATGTTGATTAGCATTATCACTTTAAAAATGTCAAGTTTGAAAACTGGATTAACTCAAAACATTATTGTAAACCTTTAACTCCTTTTCGTAATTCAATTATAATTACAAACTAAGAACTATATCCTACAATGCTACTTCAATAAAGAAACCATTAACACTCTTCAATGTAATGTGATATAAAACCACATCCACAACATAGTTCAAAAGCAGGTTTTATATATCGCCAGCTACCATCGCTAACTGCGCCGTACTGCTGTCATAGTTCTTACTTGTTTAAACGTTCTAAAACTAAATGCCAAATTTCTATTCCATTTCTGAAATCTCTGAAGCTTATGAAGCTCTGATATGCTAGCAATTTCGGTATAGACGTCTTCACGCAATAATATCAAACATAAACGCAATCGCACGTAATATTACCCTTACAACACAAAAACCAAATTGTATATGACCAACTGCAACCAACATTACCAACACCCGTCGACACACGGGACACGGGTACAGCCGCTACGGCCGCTACAGTGGCTACCACAGCGGCTACAGCTACGACCGGCTAGGACCGTACAAATATTGCATTCTCTTAGATCAAAGGTCAAAATTAATTCTGTTTTTGGTCTTGTAGTTTAATGGCATTCAGCATACGAGAGCTGTGAGATGTTGAGTATAAATTATTTTATAAGTTGAGTAATTTTGGTGTTTATCAAAATTATTAGGAGCTGCATAAGAAATTCCCGAGAGATCG